GAGGACATGAAGGCAGTTCCTCGTACATAGGCAGTGGGAAGTTTCATGTATGTGATGTTGTGCACACTCGACATGGCCAGGGTCGGCCTAGAACCGGCCCGAAATCGCCCCGTGTGTTAAGGGTCATTGAACCGGATCCATGCTACAAACGGAATGGTTCTGGGTCTTAATTTTTTTTTAAACACGTCGGTTCCGAGCCGAAAGACGGGTCCGTTTTTTGTCTTTTTTTGGGTCGGGCCGGGTCGGGTCGACCGTTGGGGACCCGACGGCCAAGTTTAATCTGGGCCGTCGGATCAACCAGACCGTTGGAAATTCAACGATCAATATATTAATTTTATTTTATTTTTAAATCTTTTAGCGGGTCGTGTCGCCAACGGTTGGATTCTTAAAAGGCAACGTTGGATCATTTGACCGTTGAGATCCAACGACCATCCTTTATCCGACCCACCGGGTTGACTCGGAAGTGGCGGGTTTACGTCAGAAAAAAAAAATCAAAAAAATTTAAAAAAAGACACCTATAAATACCCACCAACCCCCAGTCATTTTTATTCGGCCCATTGTGTTAACAATCTCTCTTCTTCCTCAATTGTACATTCTTTAAGTGTTAGGTTTTTAGTTTTTGTAATCGGTTTGTAAGAAAATCGGTCTGATTATATCTAATTTTGGTTCCAAACTTTTTATTCTGTAAATTCACAATAATTTCGGTTTTGGTTCTATAAATTTACTCTCATTTTAATTATTTTTCAACTTTTTTTTTTATTTTATAAATTATTCTTGAAATTACAAAATGTCGAGCTCCCATGGTGGTCGTGGCTCGGGCTCCAGACAAAAGCGTAAAAATAGCAGCGCATCTTCTTCGAGACCTCCATTGCCGACAATGGCGAGGCCCACGAAACATTTGGATGTTCCCTGTGTAGGCGATGATATGATGTCATGACAATCGAATGCATATTTGAGTCCATTGATGAGATCCAAGAAACAACACACGAGGAGTATGAGCAACGGCAGCAACATCCATATCAGGACGATTTTGATGATATCTTAGTATGTCAAGGGACTCAGACTCTGGAGCCTCCACAAACTACGTAAATAATAACTCCACAAACTCAAACAATGAATTCAAAGAACATTCAACATTTGAATAAGACATCAGTCTAATCACTCAACAATCTTAATGTAAGGCAAGCTGACATGCATTTGATCCTCTCTCAAACAATGAAATTCTCTTAACCACTTGAAATTTCTTTTCTAGATCAAATACATTATTAAAAAAATATTTACATCCTCTCAAAATAGCATCTCACTCCAAATTTCAACAATAATAATGATAATTAAATATTTTTGATAATAAACAACTACCTAATTAATAACTCCACAAACAACCCCTTGTTGAGTCTGGCGTTCTTGTTACGTATGAGACTGTGGCCATGTCCTAAGACATGACTCTCACCGATGTCAGTCCCTTGAATGTCCATGCTTCAAAATATCAAAAAAATGAAGGAGAAAAATAAGATTACCTTGGCCTCCCGAGCGCATCCCAACCATCGTCTCGGGGCCTCTGACAGGGGGACCCTCTCTCTTCCTCGATTTTTATTCTGTTGGCAGACTATCTCTCATGCTGCCTTGACGCCTTCATCTATGATAACCTGAGGATAACTAATTAGCTCGTCAACGTGCAATAGAGCTTCTTCATCCTTTCTCCTCCCATTGCAGATCAGTGGGCGCAGTTGGTCCACAAGCGCACTGGTTTCGCGCGTGGTGACCTGCCTATTACCTATCTCTGTGCCCCTCTGTACAACGGCCATCTCAAGAATGCACTCTTTGCAGATGTCGGGGAGAGGATGATTTACCGACTCTCTGGCTAGTCACACAGACACCTTTCTTTTGCGGGTCGACTTGCGCTGATCAAGTGCACCCTCAACGCCCTTCCGTTTCATCTTCTTATGGTCCTCGACCCCCTGAATCCACTCTCTACAAGTTAGATCAGATCATGGCTCGTTATTTCTAAGGGCATGGGGAATGATTCCTGTGGCGCAGACAAGTCCACTGTTGAAGTGGGACTCCTTTTGTCGGCCTTCTTTCGAGGGTGACCTTGGGATCCGCCGCTTATCGGATGTAGTCACCACATTCTCTTATAAGTTCTGGTGGCGCTTCAAGGAGGGAAAGTCACTTTGGGCAGTACTTTAGCAGGAAGTACTGCCATAGAGGTGTCAGTCACCCCTGTAGGGTGACGACCACGACTTGTGATAGTAGATAGTGGAGGAAGCTCAACGGGGTAGGCAGGCGCGCCCAGTAGCACATCTTCTGGACGCTGGGTGAGGGGTATGTTAGCTTTTGGGACGAGTGGTGGTTTGGTGATGAGCCTTTTTCGAGCACTAGGTTGATCACTCGCTCTCTTTTTTGAGGGTGAAGGCATGTGGTCTGATGGGGTTTGAAATAGGGATAGGTTAGAGAGGGTGTTGGGTTCTGGAGAGGGTTTTAGTGACCGTGTTTTAGATCAAATCCAGCAGATTCTCCTCTCGGATGACGATTCAGACAGTATGAGGTGGATACTTACATCATCTGTGCTTTTTCTACGACCTCGATTTGGGGGGAAGTTCGACTGGGTGATCGCCTAACCTCCTCTTAGGGGCTATTTGGACCGACCTGCTTACCCTGACCATCTCTGCTTTCTTTTGGCGCCTCTTTCTACACCGAATTCCGATCAACGCTGTGATACATGTGAGGGGGTTTTCTTTCCCCTCGCAGTGTTACTGCTGTACCGAGACTGGACATTTCCAGATGGAGACTTTTTCTCATTTGTTTTTAGATAGCGAGATTTCGAGAAAAGTGTGGGAGCATTTCGCCACTTATACTCATATATCCATTCCCACCACATGCAACTTTTTTTAGCTTTTGAGTTTTTCTCACAGCGAACACAATAGATACGTGGGCTTTCTCATTCCTTATCTGATCCTATGGTTCACCTGGACAGAAAGAAATAGTGCGAAGCATTGGAATATTACTTTTATGTGCTCTCACGTTGTTTTGCAGGTTGAGCGACATCTCTCTCTCTCTCCTCACAGCTCCGGGAAGACTCACACCTAGAGACTGGATAGACTGCATGCCGGCCCACCACTTTGTACCATCTCCGTTGCCGCCTGTCTAGCACCAATTCCCCAGAGCCGTTGTTTGGTTAAGACTCGATTCCCCTTGGGTTAAGTTAAACACTGACGAATCTTTTGACCGACTTACCGGAGCTGCTGAATGAGGGGATCTAATTAGGGACCACAGTAGAGATCTCTTTACCGCATTCCATTCACCTCTTCAGGCAACCTTGGGTTACGATGCAGAGTTCAAGTGCTTCAGATCGGTCTTCAGATCGCTGTCTCTATCTCTTCTCACATTTGGATAGAGTTGGATGTGCCGCTGTTGTCACCCTCTTGACCTTTGGCCACTAAGGTTCGTGGCAGATTCAGCACCCGCTCATGCGCATCAGATTCACACTTCAGTCGGTCCGCTACCAGATATCGCACATCTTCCGCGAGAGGAACCGACCCGCTGACTTCTTCGCTTGCGTCGGTGCCTCCACTCCCTAGAGTGCATCTTTCAGCTGGATGACGCTCCTCTCCACCTTTGTAATCTTGTGCGGATGGATCAGATTGGTTACCCATCGTTTAGTCGTTTAGTTATTATGCTTTAGCCCACTCGTAGCGCGGACTGTTTTTGTGGGCACCCGTCAGTCTATTTTTAGATCTTTCGCTTTGGTTTTAGTTTTCTTTTTCTGTCTATTTTGTTTCTGGCTTTGGTTGTTTTGTTTGCTATTTGAACATGTAGATTTGCGGTTTTTCAGCCCATTTTGTGTATGATTATATACAGGTTGGGGGTCCAACCTTAACTCCCTACCCTTGCGGGATGTTCTTTTTTTTAAAAAAAATAAAATCCTAATTGTATATTAAAATAAAGAAGAGATTAATCATAGATTTAATGTAAATAATATAAAATATATAATGCAATCTAAGCCTAATTATTATTTTATAAAAATATTAATTTTCGTCCAAGCTAGTTACGAAACATGTTTTTTTGCCACATAGAATTCCAAAGCGTGCGAGTCTGCCATTTAGGCTCAACGCATTCGACAATTATATATATGGGGGATTTTATATAGTCTGTGTAGTGTACATTTCGTTAGATCGATCCTAACAGTTATTTCTTGTGATTTGATCATTAACTGTTTGTATATTAACCAGAGTTAATTTTGAAAAAAATGGTATGATTAATTGTTAGTTGGATTTTAATTTTATATTAAAATAATATTGAAAAGAAAATAATTAAAGTTGATTTAAATTAAAAATATGAGAGATGCAATGTGAAGTGATAATTATTTAAAATTATGTGAGTTGATGAATAGTAAATTAAAGTTGATGTGATATGTAATGATTGGTTGGTATTATTTAATTATATTGATAATATTAAGAATAGTGGAGTTGAGTTAGGGCAGCCACAACGGGGCATTTATTTGCCCCGTTTAAATGACATGGTGGCGTTCAAATGGATGTGGGCGTATATTAATAGAGTGGGGCCTACCATTGCATTCAAAGGGCTGAACGCGTTCAACCCTTACTTTTTTTTGTTTTTTTATTATTTTTGTTTTAAATCCATTGTTTATTCATATTATTTTTCTTTTATGTATTAATCATTTTTTATCTATATTATACTTCCCAATATTGATAAATTTAAATTTTATCTATATCACACTTCTCAATTCTACTATTTTTTTCTTGTGTAATCTTAATTTAAGTTATTTTGGTCTTGTAGTGTTCTTTTATTTTCATATATTTAAAATTTATTATTATAATTTAAAGATATTAAACATTTTATTTTTATTGAGAATAGAATATTAAAATTTATATTGAATGAGTGGATAATATGTCCCACATATGTATTTAAATGAATAGAGTGTGTGTTTAAATGGAGAGAGATTTAGTGGAAGGATGATGTGGATGAAAGAGAGCGTTAATTTTTTATTGAATGAATGGAGGTTATGTATTAGGGTTGTGGATGCTCTTAACCAAATTCAAATTCCTATTTGGTTTCTGCAAAATTAATGCAACAATCAAACCCGTTACATATCACAAAACTAATTCCTATTTCTTGAAGGAAACCGGACGGGTAGAGGCGTACTGAAAAGGCTGATGGGCCTCAAATTTCTCACCAAAAGTTTTTGATTTATAGCTTTTGTTCCCTCTCATAAGTTGACCCCACAGACAATTTCACTCTCATCTCTCCGCCTTCTCTCACCGTCGCTCGCCACCGCCCCAGCCGGCTAATCGCAGGTTCTCTGCATTTGATCCCTCAATAGCTGCTCTATCAGATCTCGCCTCTCGTATGTCTCGATTTAAATCTGGCTCTTTTTTCTTCTGCTGAATTTCGTGTTTTTTTTTTTTCTTTTTCTCGCCATCTCGAACTATGCTCGTGTGATGTCTGATTGAAGACCTGAATGGATTTTGATACTTGATTTTTTGCACGATTTATGATCTGTTGCATATGCCCATCTGCACTACCTGTAGCAAAAGATTTCTGATTTAACTTGGATTGGTTTTAATGCGGATTTGGTCAAATACAACGTTAACTGATTTCCATATTGAATCGGATTTGAAGACGTCAAATCTAACTAGAGAAATCTAATTTCATCTGCATTTAGCTGAACACCCTCAATTACTTGATGTCCGTTTTTTGTATTTGATTCTGAATCAATTTTCTCAAAAAAAATATACACGATTCGCTCAGCTGGGCTAGACCTTCTAATAATGGTATTCTTTTTGTTAGATACACAATTTACTCTGTAATTTTTCGGATTTCTTGTCAGAATACATTCATTCTGAATAAGACATATAAAGAACAGAAAGGAAAAATGGCTGACATGACCAAAGTCAACAAGCTGCGGCCATTGGACAGTGGCCTTAATATAACAGTTAAGGTTGTCAATGCAAAGACGGTAGCGCAAAGAGGCCAAAATCAAGCACGGTTTTCTGAATGTTTAGTTGGGGACGAGACGGGAATTATCATTTTTTCCGCCAGAAATGATCAAGGTCCATATCTTTCTTAACTTCCTTTTATTTTTCTGCTGTATGTATAGGTTACTGAAAGTAGAGAACTTTTTGCTTTTATAAATGTTTGAGTTGCAGTTGAATATAATTTTAAATTTTGTGTATTGAGCCTAACTATTCTTGTCTCATCCCTTGAAAACTGTCCTGTTGGAAATGGTTATATTCTTTCCTCACATGTTACCATTATCTAAATCTGTATTATGGATGCGGGACAACTGGCCTTAACATTATTAAGTAATTAGGTGTAGTGTTGGGCTAAGTGAGTTTCTCTTCGTTTTTGACTACCAGAATTTGGTGGGAGAGATTCTGCAAGGCTATTGATTTAAATTATTGAGTTCAATTCCATGAATGAAATGAAACTTTTGGTTCAGAAGTGAAATTGGAAATTGCAGGGTGTTGAGTTTGTGGGTTCTGAATAAAGAAATATATATTTCTGATTTAGAAATTTACCCCTGGTTTGGAAGCATATTATTCGATCTCCAACATGTAATGATTTTTAATCAGATTAAAATTATATCTGTTGTCATGATGTTTGTGGCATAGCCTTGTAGGTTTGTTGTGATTCAAACATTAAAATTAAGCTGTTATTTTCTAAGTACTTTAACAACCATTGTTTATTCACCAAATCATAGTGTAGCTTTGTTACCATGATTTTAGTTCTTGTGCAGTATTCTAAATATATAGACTTATACATTGCACTTACACTAAATAAATTTTTGTTTGTGCTAGTGGGTCTGGCTAAAGACGGAAACACCCTTATCCTCTCGAATGCAAAAATCGAGATGTTCAAGGGATCAATGAGGCTGGCTGTTGATCGTTTGGGCCGGGTTGAAGCGGGTGATCCTGCCAGTTTCTCTGTGGAGGAGAGTAACAATCTGTCGTTGATAGAATTTGAGCATATTGGTGTTGTTGTTTGAGCGATGGTCTTAGGATTTTGATTTGGTTTTAAATTTATTAGACCATTTTTTTTTTTTTTTTGTCAAATCTGAAACTAAGCGTTTGGCTCGGGAACATAACAAGCAACAGGCAATAGCTGGTAAAACCTTGAGCTCATAATTTATTGCATTACGTGTTATTGTCTTCCTGTCATTTTTGTTTTTTGGTCTGTTTGTTTTGCGGCCAGCAGAACTTTTGCAGTTTATGCAATATGCAATGTGTGTTTGCTGCTTTGAGTAACCATGTTTTAGACCGGCTTCCAAGTTTGTTGGGTGACCAGGTCATAGAACCGGACAATTGAATTTTAAAGTTCTAAAATTGTGTATGTATATATGTATACACATGAGAAAGGTCGGGCTTTTGTTGGGTGACCAGATCATAGAACCGGACAATTGAATTTTAAAAATTTTCATCTATATCTATATATCTATATATAAAGAGGTTGTTGGAAAAATACATTAATAGAAAGTTTGACGTAAATAAATATAATGTTTGACTTATTATTAATGAAAAGTTCGAAAAAACACATGTAAATCTTTAGAAACAAAATCTGAATCTTATTTTTTCGGTAACAAATTTAGAAATTCTTATGACAAAATTTGAATCCCTTTTTTTTCGTATCATATTTTTTTTTTTACCAAAATTTAAATCATATCTTTTTTGGTAACAAATTTAGAGACTCTTATGCAAAAAATGTGTCAATTATTTATGAAAATAATTCTAAATACAAATCAATTTAAAAACCGTGCAAATTAGATACAAATTTACGAAATAAATAGTTGTATAATTTCTAACCAATTCTTTCAATCTTAAGGAATAATTTTTTCTTTCAAAAAAGGTGTGTAAATTGGTTAGAACCACGTGCAATTTTTATTTTAAAATAAAATTGATATTTGAACGGGATGTACATTCAAAATTGTGCCCACATTTTTTGATAACAAAAGCGGTTCATCTTTTAAAATAATTAATTGCACACCATATTTAGAAAGTTTTAGACATTTTAAATCATGAAATATGGTAGCATTAAATGCCCCTAAAATTATGGGTTTTGTTGAATTCATTTTTGAAAATTTCGACACATATTAAAGTGAATATGAAATTCAAAATCTCTTCTCATTTTATTTTTAATAAAATCTGCATCCAAATATACGTGTGGTTTTGAAGTGAAAATTTGAAATTCAAAATCACTTCTCATTTAGTTACAAGAAAATCGGACTGCATTCAACACTTAGACGAATTTAAAAATTATTCCTTAAATGAAGGAATTTATAGATAATTGTTATCTCTACTCAATCACATGATTATTTTCAATATAAGAAGAGACAGGTTACAAATTAGTGAATCATATATTACCTAATTCAATATCTTAACATTAAGGAATAAATCCATAGTATTATGTAAATCCGTATCTCATATTATTATATCATTAAGAATATATTATAGTTATATTATCAAATCTTTTAAAGATATTAAATCCATATTATAAAAAAAATAATTCATATAATTTTATAACAATTCTACTACACTATTTAACAATGTTAATTTTTATTAATAATAAAATAATANCAACGCTGGTTAAAAAATGTGGAAAAAACTTATAATAACTCTATTGTTTTTTAGACTTAACGTTGATTAAAAGAGGTAAAAAATAGATAATAACCCTATTATTTTTTAGACTTAAACGGACAAGAGTGTGAAAATAACTCATTTAATATCTTTGTTCCATGCATCGCACGAGTTACGTACTAGTATTTATGTATACACAAAATTAAAAGAATAAATAACTTGCATACAAATTTTTATACTTTTAACAACTTGCATGTTTGTTATTTAGTAATTTTTTTGTTATTTAACATATTTATACTCTCGAAACTAGAAGTTTTAAATTTTTAAATACTTCTAAATTTTTGTATTATTATTTTCTACTTAGAACGATAGTCATCACTCGAACGACTTGTTAATAGATGTATATTTAATCAATTTTTATTCTCGTAAGACTTGTTAATAGGTGTATGTGTTGATGGACGGATTCGGTGAACGGTTAAAATAAGATTTTTTAAGGGTGAAAAAAAAGAATAAGAAAGATGTACGAAAAAATAGAGTTTTATTACTTAATTACAAGATCGACCTCTGATAACGATGCTTTGAGATCCTTGCGGGAATTTATTACAGAGTAGAGAGAGAAGGTAGTAGTTGATGGATTCAACAACCCCCCATAAATGAGGTTGGATCTCCTATTTATCGCAATTCCAATTCGGTACTGTTTGGGCACTGTTCATCCGTCTTGTCGCACAATAATCCTGCAGGGCAGGTCGGCGCTGTTCTGACAGGTATTAAATGTGATTTGAGGTTTATTCCATCATGATCTGTCAGGCATTAAATGCGCACATGTGGAGCATGTAGTGTTGGCAGGCCTTTAGGCCGGGCTAGACATCATAGGGCTGCAGACTAGGCTGACACATCCCATCGGTAATCATTAGCAGACAAGTGACATTATTTTATTATTTCCAGACCCAGAATACGCATGGACGCCGACTTCGAAAGAACCTTAGATCGGACTTCAACCATCAGTTCACCACTTAGCCTCCAAGATCCCGTTTATCTGCTCGGCACCCGCGGAGGTCGTCATCTCCCGCTCAACGGCCGAAGTGCCAATCTCAGGGATGATGTCGTTTGTCGCCCCTGTTGACTTAACTTTCCGGTTAGCTCGGCATTCAGTGACTGTTCGGAAGCCGACCCGAGTTAATTTTTCAATTTCTGACTATATTTGGGAATGATCGATCCTGTACATGTGAATAGAACAACAAAGTTTTTTCACCGGTCATACAATGGAGTGACATTCAATTAAGGTGTAACTACTCTATTTAGGGCATTCGCATCCATTTTAATTCATTTGATCTCAAATCACTCTCTTTTTATCGACATCATATCCACATTTTCATTTTATTCATTTAAACAATTTCCTATTCATCAACACATTTACAATATACATACAGTGATAAGCCCACTATAAATAATACATAAACATATGGGGGCACCATTTTTTATCTTTCTACAAGAGACATAATAGTTTAATATTATTCTGACCCCACAATTTTGTTGTAACGTTGTTCAATAAAATGAATGGTAAATGTGGGGCCCATTTGTTTTGCCATCAAACGGATGTCTCACATTGGTTGAATGAAGAATTTTGACATTTAAATAACAGAACAATGAACTGATGTAGATCATCTTAGAATGACTCATCTTTAGTAATAATACTTACTGTTACTGTTCTGGTAGAGAGGTGGGCTCGGTTCGGTTATTGTCATTTTTCTTAGGAACCGTTCAGTTTTCTTAGTCTTCAAATCGGTTCGGTTAACTTATTTTTTTTGGCAGGGACCGGTTTAGAACCAGAAAACCGGTTTCGGTTCAGTTTTTCCGGTTTTTTTAGATAACCGATCTCAACAAATAACCGAATTGTGCAAAATAACCGAGCTCAAAAACAACTAAAGTTACAAAACATTAAACAAGAATACAAGACAACTAATACCTAAGTTCTAACAAGTCAATACATTACAAATCAACCACACATCAGTTACCACTTTCCAGTCTTCAAGACACACTTCAATACACAATTACATTTTTTTTTTTCCAAACGATAGACGATCTCATAGAAAAATAAAAGGTTCGTACAAACGGGATACAATGAGAGAACTAGAACATGATCTGGCCTAGACAAACACACACCAAATGCACTGAAGGCAGCCACACGAGCTGAAACCCAGCAGACACCACATCAAAACATCATCACAATAGAAAGTCTACAAAACTAAAACAACAAGACAATGGAAGTAGAACAAGTCCCTAGCCACTGTCACCCGACCTAGCATAGAACCTGCCACCCCTTTAGTTCCCAGCTCCTCTGCAACTAGCAAAGTCCATCCAATCCCTCACAGCCATCTTCACAATCATCCTCTCCGGTTTCCACACATTTTCAAACATCCAGAGGTTTCTAGCTTTCCACAGCCACCAAAGGATGTATGTGGAAAGCTGGATCCTCTTTTCAGCCACCTCAGTGTGATTTAATGTACTAATCCACCACCACCAATCTTTAAACTCCCCTTCTCCACCAGCTAGGTCATCCCATTGCACAGAAGATATCTTCCACACCAACTGAGCCCTTCTGCATTGGAATAGAAGGTGTTGCACTGATTCTGTTGCTTCACCACATCCTCTGCACCTTGCATCAATGTCCAGTCCCCTGCTTTGAATATTGGCCAAAGTTGGCAATGTGTCTGTAAAGGCTCTCCATATGAAATGCTTAACCTTCCCCTGCACTTTTAACTTCCAGCATCTCCTCCTGGCCTCTTTACTCCTTTGAGCAGCCCTACTGCTTTCAGCTCTGTTCAACATCAAAGCTTTCTCTACCATCAATTTAGCATAGGTTGCAGCCACAGTATGCCTTCCTTTAGTGTCAAAGGTCCACCTCCATTTATCTGCAGCCTCTGGGTTAAGGGTATTGATTTGCAGCACTTGTCGACATTCAGTGTCTTCAAAGAACTCCCTCACCAGTCTCTCATCCCAATTCCTCCCACCATTTTCCATCAGTTCAGCCACCCAAATATCTGTGCCCACTGTTCCCTGCTTGGTTTTAGTTGGACCATTCACTACCCAATTCCAGTCTGTGAGTTTAGTGGACCTGCCATCTCTGGTTTCTACCTTCAATCCTTGCTGCAGCATTGGTAGAACACCCAGCCAACAGTTCCAAAGCCATGATGAATTGGGTTTCTTCTTGCACTCAAAAATGGAATGATTTGCAAAGTATTTGCCTTTGAGGATCCTGCTCACCAACAAATTAGGCTGTGTTGATATTCTCCAGAGTTGCTTGATCATAAGGGCTTGATTGAACAGTTTGATATCTTGGAACCCCAGCCCACCCATGTCTTTTGATAAGGTAAGATCTTTCCAGGCTTTCCAATGCATGCCTTTGGCTTGGTCTTCCCCTCTGCTCCACCAAAAGTTGGCACACAAGCTGGTAATAGCTTTACAGGTTCCCTTAGGAATCTGAAAACAACTCATTACAAACACTGGCAATGCATTTAGAACAACTTTAATTAAAGTTTCTTTCCCAGCAGTTGACAAGAATTTATTCTTCCAGCTCACAATCCTATTTCTCACAGCCTCCACAACAAAGTTAAAAGTCTCAAGCTTAGATTTCCCAATACCCAAAGGGAGCCCTAAATACCTAGTAGAGTTCTGAACCTTAATTCCCTCAAGAATAGTGCACACACCCCTCTTAACACCCTCAGAAGTGTTTTTACTGAAAAAAATGGAGGATTTAGAGAGATTAACCTTCTGCCCTGTGAAAGCTTTATATTGA